CTGCCCTTCGTGGCCCCCTCGCTGCCCTCCGTGGCCCCCTCGCCTTCGTGGCCCCGTTGCACCCCTTCGTGGCCCCCTTCGCTGCCCTTCGTGGCCCCCTCGCTGCCCTCCGTGGCCCCCTCCCCTTCTTGGCTCCGTTGCAGCCCTTCGTGGCCCCCTTCGCTGCCCTTCGTGGCCCCGTTGGGGCCCTTCGTGGCCCCCTCGCTGCCCTTCGTGGCCCCGTTGCAGCCCTTCGTGGCCCCCGCTCGTTCGCGCCCGTCGTGGCCCCATGTGCATGCGCTTCGTGGCCCCGATGTCGCCCTTCGTTGCTCCGCTGTCGCCCTTCGTGGCCCCGTTGCTGCCCGCAGTGGTCCCGTCTTTGCCCTCTGCGGCCCAATCTACTTATGCTCTTCGTGGTCCCCGCTCGTTCGCGCCCGTCATGGCCCCATTTGCATGCGCTTCGTGGCCCCGCCGTCGCCCTTTCTGGCCCCTTCGTTGTCCTACGTGGCCCCGTTGCTACCCCCCCGTCTTTGCCCTTTGTGGCCACATTATCTGACGTTCGTGGCCCCCGCTCGTTCGCGCCCTTCGTAGCCCCATACGCATGCGCTTCGTGGCCCCTCTGTCGCCCTTCGTGGCCCCCTTCCTGCTCTTCGTGGCCCCGCTGTCGCTCTCGCTGTCGCTCTCTTGCTTTCGCTCGTCGTCGTCGTCGCCGTCGTCGTCGTCGTCGTCGTCGTCGCGGTCGTCGTCGTCGTCGTCGTCGTCGTCGTCGTCGTCGTCGTCGTCGTCGTCGTCATCGACGTCGTCGTCGTCGTCGTCGTCGGCGTCGTCGACGTCGTCGTCGTCGTCGTCGTCGTCGTCGTGGTCGGTCCCTTGTCCGTCCTTCTTGGGGTCGGGTGCCGCCGATCAGCGCTGCCGCTGGCCAGGCCGACGGTCCGCGGCCGCCCCCCCGCTTGCCGGGGCCCGGCCTGCAGGGAAGAAAATGGCACGATTGAAGACGAAGAGGGCGGGTATCGAGGGTTTGGGAAATGCATGCTACATGGCCCTCGAGCAGATAAGAGCGAACAATATTAACATGAGTGTTGTTGTTGCTGTTGCTGTTGCTGTTGCTGTTGTTGTTTTTGTTGTTGTTGTGGTTGTTGCTGTTGTTGTGATTGTTGTTGTTGTTGTTGTTGTTGTTGTTGAACATTATTTATTCTCAAGAATAATTATTGTTGGGCCCCCTGGTGCGCGCCCCCCCTGCGCCGCCTAGGCCGCAGCTACATTTTCATCATTTTCGTGAGGAAGCCTCAGAAAAGAGGGTGTGTACAGGATCCGGTTGTTTTGTTGTAATCCGCTTTCCCTTGCAAAAAACAATAGAAAATGACATTTCTTGTTCTAATATAATCAAATTTCAAGAATCCCTTGCAAAAAATAAGGTAAAGTGGACATTCGCGCGCGCAAGACGAAATCCTTCCAAAACCTTAGTGTTCGCAGCGATTTTAACATAAAAACATCAAAAAACCAATGGTTTTTCAACAAAAAATTGTCAAAATCTCATCCCGCGCGCTCTTGCGGATTCGTAGGAAACCCAACACTTTTTAAACATTTCTGTCAAACGGGGGACAAGCACAACCATCAGGACAACCATCGGGACAATCATCGGGACAACGATCGGGACAACCACAACCATCAGGACAACCATCGGGACAACCATCGAGACAACCATCGGGACAACCATATCCTCTCTCTCTTGTGTATTCCCACATCCCTCAGGAATTTGCCCTAAAGATGTGATCAACTATCTTGTGAGTACGTATCATGTGTATCATGTGTATCATGTACCATATGCATCATATGCAACAGATGTTCTGTGGAAGGCTTAACAACTTCTGTGGGTTAACAAGGCTTAACAACTTCTGTGGGTGTACGAACGTAGGCTTAACAACTTCTGTGGGTGTGTACTCCACGCCAGTGTAGTAGCCACGGTCGTCCGCAGGCCACGAAGTGAAGTGTCCGAACGTCATAGGGCGGGAAGCTGGGTGTGGGTGGTGGCGAAGAGTCG